AGGACTCATTACTTTCTCTTTTTTTATTTTAAATTTATGGAATAAAATAAGCATTTCCATAACACAGTACAATTTTAAAAAAGATGACCATCCATGAAACTGCAAATATACTATCCACAACTTGCTATTCCTTTAAGATATAGAAAATTATCATGTAAATTTTTTTCTTCCCTCCTCCCACCCCTTAGCTACCATTAGACATAAATAAGTATATATTGCTTTCTAAGAAATTGGGTTCTACTACCTATTTGAAGGTATGGCCCTCCAACCAACTTTTCTACTTTTTTCCTCACTGTGACTTGAAGTCAGAAGACTGGGTTTTGACCCTAACTTCAATGCTTTACTGTGGATCATTGCATTTGGTTACAATTTCTCCAGGCCTGTTTCCTCATCTGTAAAATTGGGAATAGGACCTATGCTACCGTACTCATAGTGTATTTGGGAGGAAATATGGTTGTAAACTACAATTCATGATATAGCTATGATCATTATAATTCAGGGTAGCAGGAAGGAATTTCAGAGAGGAATAGACTTTGCCCTTCCCTTTATACTGCAAGACCTTCCTCTATGAAGGAGAATATACTAAAAGGCTTTAGTTCTGCCACTCTCTTCTCCAGGTCTTTCTGAAAAGTTTTGGAGAAGTAGAGCGGGAGTCAGAGCTGAAGTCAGTCCAATAGTTTAATCTTCTACAAGATTTTGAAGAAGATCAGAGAAGTTGGCCCAGTACTCTGCAATTTCTGGAAAACAATCTAGGGTAAAATAAAAAGTAACCCAATGATCTAGGGAGGAGAGAGAAGGCAGAAGAGCCAAAGGGAACTAAAGATTTAAGATAGTTGAGTGCCTGGAGGACCTGGAGCCATTCAGAACTGAATTCTGGAATGCTGGATAAGAGTGGAGCCATGGAGTATTAAGGAGCTATTAAGAAAAAGACTTTCCAAGGAAACAGAAAAATCTTGCCACTTTATGCTGTGTGGGGGTCTCATTCAGGGAAGCAGAATAAGGCACAGGGAACATATAGGACCCTGGAAAGAGTAGCCTCCAGAAGAGGTTGGAGACTTTCTCAGTTTTCTGTGGGCTCCTATGTGAATGTTTTAACTGTGCAAATAAAACCCGTTTTATGCTTGAAACCTATGAGCCCGAATGTTTTAAGGGGAACGGAATGTTACCACTGTAGGAGTGCCAGATAATGCAGTGCCCAGGCCCAGCCTAGGTAGAGGTAAACAAGTATATGTGAGAGGTTCAACAAAGTTCACCTAGGCTCTTATGTTAGGAATCTGTGAAAAAATATAAATAGACCAATTAGTCTAGAGCAGTTATTCGTATAGTTACTGTTATTACTATCATGAACAAGGAAGCCAATTTTGTCGTGAGGTCCCTCCACAATACTTTCCTAATACTGAACTGAATCCCAATTCTCTGAAGTTTGTACCTACTGGTCCCAATTCTACCCTCTGGGGCCAAAGTAGACAACATGCACACGAATTTGGCTCCAATCCAGGTTAAGCAGCACTTATACCTGAGGACTCTAATACTTTCTTTACAATTAGGAATTATCTTAAGCATACATGAAAAATAAAGAAAGATTACCTCAGTCTTAGAATTTCCAAAGCAAATGTTTAAAACCTACTGCAAACTAGTTAATAATACCATGAGAGAAAAACCTTGGTGAAATGTCTGTGGGACTGAATATAATCTGAATTTATATTTCAAGATGGTATATTTTACAATACCATAAAGTATAAAAGGTACAATGGAAGATCTTTAAATGCAGAGCTCACTATAAAGACTTAGGTACACTAGGGATCATTCCCCTATTTTCTCTCCCTATCTAAATCCTACCACATCCTTCCAGCCCAAGCTCAAGTCCTACCAGATCCACAAAGCCTGTTCTAGATAGCCAAGTTCCTAATAATTGCTTTCTTTTCTTAACAACTACAACATTTCAACAAGTACCACACAATCCAACACTGAGGAGCTCTATAAACCCTAAAGCACTCTATAAATGTACATATAATTATTATTGTTATAGTTGTTGCTGCTGCCATTACCTTGTTATTCTTTATAATTTTATAATTTCCCCAGAACTATACTGCTCTCCTACTATTTCCAAATATAATAGTCCTATGCCCCTCCCCTAAAGTAATAACTCACTTTCACACAACTGAAACCCACCCTCAAAGTTATTACGAGAGAAACTTTTATGGGCTATGTATTTGTCTGTATCTAGGAAGACTATTGACAGTTTCCCAGGTTCCTATGATACTGCTCTTGATCTGGGTTCAATCCAGCTTCAGATAATTACTAGCAATGTGACTCTGGGCAAGTCACTTAACTTGTCTGCCTCAGTTTCCTTATCTGTAAAATAGGGATAATAATAGCACCTACCTCACAGGGTTGTTGTAAGGATGAAAGGACATAAAAAATGAAATAATAAACATAATACCTAGCACATAGTAGGCACTATGTAAATGCCAGCTGGTATTAGTATTACTTCTGAAAAGAAGCAAGAAGGTAGTCACCGGCAAAGAGTAGTCTCCATCGTACCTGAAAAGAAACTATTAAGTGTTGAGGAAGAAGTAGCAGTCTTGTTGGAGAAACTGAAGGCAAGGAGGAGGCCCCAGCTACATCTTTAATTGTCTAAGCAAGGAACTGAACACTGGCCAGTGGCTGTCATTCAAGCATTGAGTGGAGATCGTGGAGCCTAAGGCATGGAGGACAGTGAAGTGGGGAAAGGCCCAGACAAGATGAAATCACAAGGTGAATGGGGCCATCTGATGACCATTTACAAGCCAGCAAAAGAGAATAAGGAAACTGGTAGACACTGGGGCAGGACAGGAATATCAACATGGTCGAAAGCACCTTTCTGGTCCCTTCTCCTCCTATACTTTATAAAATGCTGATGGCCACCACCCTGGGTTGAGGGGTGGGGGGAGGGGTTAGGAAGTGATTTGCATACAAACAACAGGCTTTACTGAGGTCTTAGAAGCCTACTTGATATTCATTTTGTTCTTAATACATTCTCCCTCTGAGGTAACACAAATGGACTAGGGTAAAAAGATTTGGCAAAAGTCATAACAATTGAGCTGCCAGGTTGGAACTCAAATTAGTCAACAAGTCAGTCAATAAATATTTATTAAGCACCTAGTATGTTCCAGGCACTGTGCTAATGGGGATACAAATAAAGGAAAAAGAAAGTCCCTGATGTCAAGGAGCTTACTGACTCTTCAGATCCTGACTCCAATGTCCTGTACATCACATGTGTTCTTGTTCCCCAATGAGAATATCAGGTCCTTATTCAAAGAGACTATCTCCTTCTTCTATGTGTTTCAAAACACATAGTCCTGGGCCCATGCTTGGTGCCTCATATCCTGATTGATTTAAAGTTGGCCTGTAATTATTATTAGGGTAGGGAAGAATAAGAGAAAGGAATTCCCTCTCTCTCCATCATAAAGAGCAATGATTAGAGGGAGAGGGCCTGGAAGCATATGCTGGCTCTGTTAGCTTATTAACTGTGAGATTAACACAGCTAATATCACAATGATTTTGCCAAATCACTTAACCTCTCTGGCTCTCAATTTCCTCATCTATAAAATGTGATGATTGAACTAGATGACTTTTAAGGTGCTCTTCAGTTCTAAAACCTATGATTCTAAGAACACTAAGTATTACATAAAGAAACAATATGGGGCTTTGAATCAGAAAACTTAAGTTGGAGTCTCAGTTATAACTGCTACATAACTGAATCGTAAGATCATAGATTCAGAGCTGGAAGAGACTTTGGAGGTCATCAAATACAACTCTCTCATTTGACATATGAGGAAACTGAAGCCAAGGCAGATTAAATGACTTACCCAGGGGCATGTGGCTAGTTTATGTTTGAGGTAGAATTTGAACCTAGGTCTTGTACGTCACTTGAGGATAATGATATATCTGCCCTATTTAACATGTTCTACAGTATTATAATTATGTCTCTAGCTCCAAGATATCCTTCCACAACATATTAAAACTTGCAGAGGGAAATATCTTCACAAAAGTCCTCTATATATTACTCTATTTACTGTTGCTAGTAGTAGTATATAGCCTAACCACCTTAATTACCTTACAATGTTCTCACATTTGGATGACCATATTCCTAGGGAAAAATAGAGAGCTTTGTAGGCCTACAAAAGGACATAGGTAAAGATTCCAATAACAACTTGAAAGTGAAAGAAAGATTGGACTCATTCAGTTTTACACTATGGGGCATAGCTAGCGTTACAAGGCAGAAGTGACAAGGAGGCAGATCAGTACTGAAGACAAAAGAGCTTCCCAATAATTACTACTATTCTAATAAAGGAAAGCTCTGTCTCATAAGGCAATGTGTTGTCTATCACTGAAAGCACTTAAGCAGTGGTTCAACAACCACTTTTCTGGCATGCTGCACAGAAACTCACACATAGGTTGGAGGTTGGAGGTTGGAATACAGAGTATCTCAGGTAGCCTCCAACTAAGGCTCTGTTGAGCTATAAACCCTAATTTTATGGGGTTGAGAGAAAATGAGAACTATTAATCAATCAATAAACATTTATGAAGTGCCCACTATGTGTCAGGCACTGTGCTAAGTGCTGCACTGTACTAAAGTATGCAGTGTTTACAAATCTTTACAAACCTCTTAGTGTCACTATCCTCTCCACAAAGAATACAGGATTGGGTGGATTTTGATTTTGACTTGACATGACAATTTTTACCTGCTAAATGTTCTATATATCTTAAGTGTTATGCTTATTTTGTGACAGTCAAAAAAGCAAAATTGTCAGTTTGAAAGATAGTGCTAACTCTGGGCAAATTCACTGACAGCAATAGGGCGTGATGGTCTTAGAATTTATTTTTGCTTGGGGAAGCATGGGGAAATTATTTGTGCTCCTCTGCGGAGAACTAGGATGTGGGATCTGGCCATTGAATCAATTTGGCTTGTTAGCAGTTTCTAATAATGTAATCTGAGATTATGCAAGCCAGCAGACCTTTGGTGGTAAGAATTTTTGATGTGACTTCTAGTTTCTCCAAAGGTTCAGTTCCAATGTTTTCCAATTTGATGTCAAGTTGTTGGGTCTCTCCATTATAAAGCTGGACAGACACATTAGTGGAGATTTCATCCCCAGAGGCAGGCTGCAAAGTGCGGGCTGACCTAAAACAGAGAATAAAACAAAAGACTGACTCAGCATTTTAAAATTTATTCATATCAAAACATACTAGAGGCATTATAAAATGTGAAGAGAAATTAAGACACATGAAAATAGACTTTAGGATCCAACCAATCAACAAAGGCATAAAAAATATGAAACTATCCCTAATCTATATGTCCTTAAAATTCAGTTAGCTCAACAAAATTCATTCACATTTTTAATGCAATACCAACCAAATTCCCAAGGGGATAAAATATGGAATTTGATAAAATACCAAAATTCATTTAGAAAAACAAAATATTTAGAATATTAAGAGAAATTATTAAAAGAAGTAGGGATAAGGAGGAAATAGCACTGCCAGACCTCAAACTATACTACAAAGTAGCATTCATCAAAACTATCTGTATTGGTTAAAATATAGAGAGGTAGAAGGTAGATCAATGGAACAAACTAGACAAAAAAGAATCAGAAATAATAGAACTCAATAACCCAGTATTTCATAAAATGGAAAACATAAATTACCTAGGAAAAAACTCCCTATCTGATAAAAAATTGCTGGGAAAAATCGAAAGCAGTCTGATAGAAATTAAGCTCAGACCAACACCTTAAACCATATTCCAAAATATAGTCGAAATGTGACCTTAATATTAAGTTATATTATAAAAAAAACTACAGATCATATGCTTCTCACAGTTATGCGTAGGAGATGTATTCTTAACCAAAAAAGAGACAGAAGCAATTACAAAAAATAAAAGAGATAACTTTAATTACTTGAAGCTGAAAAGCTTCTGCATAAACAAAGTAACATACCTAGGATAAGAAGGGAAGCAGTTAAATGGGGAAAAACAAAGCCTTTGTATAAATTTTCTCTGATAAGGGATTCATATCCAAGATATATAAATAATACACACACGCACAAACACACACACACACACACAAATAGACATTTCCTAATATATTTGTGTTCAACGGATAAAACGGTTCTCAAAGGAAGAACTGAATAGCATTTACAACCACATGAAAGATTGCTCAAAATCACTAATAAGAAGAGAAATACAAATTAAAACAATCCTGAGGTTTTACCTCATAACCAAAATGACCACACAAAAATGGCAATATGCAATGTTGGAAGGTTTGTGGAATGATAGGCATGCTAATACATTGTTGGTGGGGCTATAAAATAGTATAATTACTTTGGAAAGCAATTTGAAATTATGCAAATAGGGCGCAGCTAGGTAGCTCAGTGAATAAAGCACCAGCCCTGGATTCAGGAGGATCTGAGTTCAAATGTGGCCTCAGACACATAACACTTACTAGCTGTGTGACCCTGGGCAAGTCACTTATTCCCATAGCCTAGCCAAAAAAAAGAAAGAAAGAAATTATGCAAATAAAGTGACTAAAATGTGTATACCCTTTGAACCAGAAATTCCATTAATGGGCTCATGTCCCAAGGAAGCCACCAATAAGAAGTACCCATATACTACAAAATATTTATAGCAGCACTTTTTTGTGATATCTAAGAATTGGAAACAAAGCAGCTGCCTGTCAATTAGGCAATGGCTAAATAAACTGTGGTAGATGAATGTAATGGAATATCACTATGCCATGAGAAATGACCTGTATGACGAATATAGAGAAACATGGAAAGGCCTGTATGAAGTGATGCAGAGTGAAGTAAGCAGACCCAAGAAAATAATATACAAAGCAACGACAACAATGTAAATGTAAAGAACAACACATCAAGGTATCAAAAATCAATGTGACAAAATGATGAAGATCAAACAAGACTCAAATGAAGAGATGTGAGAGGACATCACCAAACCATCTCATCACGGAGGCGAAAAGTCCACAGGTGTTGCATATTGCACACATTTTGGGACTTTTCAATGTTATCAATCAGTCATGTGGTTTTTGTTTTTTCTTTCTCTAAAAAATACTACTCATTATATGGAATGGTTCTCTGGGAGGAAGAAAGGGAAGAATACTTGGGAAAACTATGATAATGTAATAAAGAGAAGATATAAATGAAAAACTTACTTTAAAAAATAGAAATTTAGGGGGGCAGCTAGGTGGCACAGTGGATAGAGCACCAACCCTGGAGTCAGGAGGACCTGACTTCAAATCCGGCCTCAGACACGTAACACTCACTAGCTGTGTGACTCCGGGCAATTCACTTACTCCCAACTGCCCCACAAAAAAAAAAAAATAGAAATTTAGTTAACTTAGAGTTTCCATCATCTGCTATAGACTAAAGATAGAGAAAAAATGAGTTCATGACTTACAATGACTATATAGATGACTAGCTGTGTGACCACAGACAAGGCAATGAAGCGCTCTGAGCCTCTGAAGTTCTCTGCAGGGATAACACTCACATAAGATTATGCCAGGAAAGCCTAATGTGAAGTTGGGATTGTGGTTATTGCTCTCACTATTACAACTGCCCTTCTTAGTATATATTCTAGACAAACCTAAACATCCTCAGCCTGCACTCTTCAGTTTCAAGGCCTTTCATCACCATCTCCTATACCTGAAATGGGCTCCTCAACTTTAAATCCTCAAATCTTACCTTTCCTTCCAGGCCTAACTTAGATCTTTTCCTCAAATAAGACTTCCTTAACTCCACAAACTAGATGTAATCTGTCCTTTTTGGTTTCTTTCATAGCACTTTCTTTAGACTCTTCCATGAAATTACACATTCTTCTCATCTCTACTTATTAGACAGTAAGATACTTCAAGGCAGGTATTATGTCCTATCCATCTTTGTATCACCAACACCTGGGCGTAAGACCTTATTTGGAAGATATTTCTAAATGTTAGTCAAAATGAATAGTTGCCTACTTCAATACTTCAATGGGTCCATGATTCCTTTGGGGTAGGTATCTCCTTCTACAAACACAATTTCAACCAACCCATTTCTTCTAATCTTGTGCAATTCTTGTTTATGTCTTTTCATAAATCCTCTGTAAAGAATCTGTTCAACATGCCAGAAACCTTCTTCTGACTCTTTTAATATTTCACAGATACCAGTGAAACACAATAACTGTTCATCTGCTATCCCTCCCTTTAGAGTCTTGTACAATACCTAAAAAAAAAAACTATCACAAACTGGAAAGCACCTTAATAATGGGAAGAGGAAAAAAAGACACATGTAGACTAAAACTCATATGCTAATTTATTACAGCAAGATCATTTAAATAGGCCACTACATATAACAGAGTAAAAATTACATTAAAAACATGTATAACAAACTCTATATGCCACTGACGAAAAATGTTAGGAAAGTCTACAGCCATTGAGTATGATAAACTAAACAAAAATACGAAAGGGAATTCACAATTCTTAACACACGACCTCCTGGCAGTGGGTCCATAATGTCACCTTTTATGTACAAAGGCTGACACATTGATTAAACATAATGGATTGCCAACATAAACTTTAAAAAAGAAAAACAACTGTGAGAGGGTGCCATTTTTTCCAAATATTGCTTGAGAGTCTCTGTGCTAAATATTTTTTTTAAAAATAGGATTTACTTTAAAGTAAATCTCATTTTAAGTATACTTAGCACTTTCTCTCTCTCATAGTTATACATTTGAGAAGACTGATTTGCTTCTATATGATGGCTAAGAGTTGATTGTTCATGCAAAGAGGTCATATACTTGATTTCTAATAAGGATAGGGATAAGTAATAGACCAGTGATTTCACAAATATATGGAATTCTCAAATGAGGACGCTCCCTCTGAAGATGTACGCTGGCACCTTCTCTGTACTTAAAGACTTAAAGAATTGCCTACAACATTGACAGATGAAATGACTTGCCAACAGTCAGATAACCAGAAGGTGTCGGAGCTCATCCTAGATCATTGGCCAGCTTTCTATTCACTACAAGATGCTCTCTATTTATGAGTTTAAATACTACTGTACAATAGGACCTCCAACTAACTTTCTCTATCTTATTATCAATTATTAAGAACATTTTCTACAAAACAATTGTACTTATTTTGGTAAATGGGTGGATATGTCTCAAAGCTGATACCAGGATATATCCAAATGCAGTAAAGTCCTTATTCCAAATCTGCATAAAGTAGAATGATGGCCCTTTACAGTAGGAAGGGGCCGTAGAGATCCTCACATCCTATCCTCCCAACTGACAGATGGGAAAAATTGAAGTCCAGAAAAACTAATCGATTTATTCAAGGTCACACAGGTTAACAGTTAGTGGCAGAATCAAGACTGGAACCTAGGTCTCCAGAACTTTTTCTAATATACTTTCTGTAACATTGACCCAAGGTTGCTTTTCCCTAGGGAAAAAAGAAGCACCAATTGACATTCTCATTTTTGGAAAATTTCTACATTTATTAGATTTCAAGAAGTAGCATGGAGTGATCAAAAGAACATTAGACTTGGAGTCAAAAGATACTTAAATTCAAATACCTCCTCCAACACACTTAGTGGCTTTGTGACCTTGGTCAAATCACTCCCTCTCAGAACTCCAGTTTCCTCATTTATAACATGAGGTTAATAATGACTAAATTTTCTAATGATATAAAGTAAATAATGAACTTTAGCAACCTTAAAACATTTTTAAAATGTCAGTTATTGTTCTTATTCTCATCATCTATAAATACTATTTATAAAACATCTTCACTGTGTTAGTAAATTATAATGTATTTAAGTATAAAAAAAAATTCCATGTCTCAGAAGTATAGTGAAGGGGTTGGACTAAACAATACAAAGTCTCTTCCATCATTGAAATCGTATGATTAAACATTTATCTTCACGTAAAATTATGCTAGGTGCTATAGATAAAGAACCACAAAGACAAAGTTCCTCTTCTCTGGGAGCTTAATAAAATCATACAGTCTATACAAATATAAAGCTTATTATGCAAAACTCTCTTTTACTGTTATTGATTCCAAATTTAATTCTAGCCACAATCTCTCCAATGAATTCCATTCCAAAATTTCCAAATACCTGAGAAATAGCTCCACTGAGATGTCCCAG